ATAAAGTCTATGTTTAGTAGATTTACTTGACAATAATAAATCATATTCCAAAACCAATAGTTCGATTCGACTAAAAATCACCGAAAAAAAAAGATTGCCGATTGAATCACAGACTTTTTAAAAGATGAGAGCATACTCAAAATGACTAATATGGAGGTATCAACGTTATTATTAGCATGCATATAACGTTCGAAGGAAACAAGATAGAGAGATCCTGGCTTGCGTAGATTGGTAGATTGTGAGCTGACGAATCTATTGCACTTCTTAGAATTAAAACTCGATGTAATCATTATAGCATTTTCAGTATTTTTCCGAAGATCACTGACTGAACATTAAATTATGAATCAATATTGTTGAAGGTTATATGAAATCATGCAGTGTCACAGCCTCTTTTGAATGGTGAAAACTAACCGTAGCTCTCTATCTAGTTTCTATCAAAAGTTATTCAAAAAATACTTACACTTTTTTCTTTTTTGAAATGAATATAAGTAGCAGAATATCTTTTTCAGTACATTGAACTCGATACATTCATTAGAGTTACTTTCTTTTTAAAAATAAATTAAGAATAGATTATAATTCTCTTGTGAATAAACACGTACTACTTGCACATGAATGAAAATTGCAAGAAGATTTCTTGCATAGTCATGAAATAATGAAACTAATTAGAATAATATTATTTCTATTAAAATAAAACTAATAAGAATCCAACTGTGACATGAACTATTTGTCGAATATAATATATAATGAGAGAATTTTCAAATGAAAAATTATTATTCTTCTCTGTCTCTCAACACTAAGTATTCACAATATGGAAATGTTCGAAAACAATAAATTTGTTCTTCATCGAATAAAATTTTTTATTCTCATCATATTACAAATCTCAGCAATTGTAATTAGTCTATTGATTTTTGCGTTTTTTATTACACATCGTGCAATATTAAATATTCTTCAAAATCAAGCTTTACTAGCCTTAATTATCGTTAATTTTGTTGAATTAGTAGCAGATTTGCCAATGCCAATAAGTTTCTATTATCTCGGATATGTTAAACCAGCAACAAATGGTTACTGTATTTGGTGGACATTCTTCGAGTATAATCTTCATTTAATAAGTGAACTTCTTGTGGCTACAATTTCCATTCAACGACATATACTTATATTTCAAGCAAATATATTTCACAATCGTTTCAAACGTTTTATGTTTTATTATATTCCTCTAGTACTTTGTTTTATTTATCCAATTATTCTCTACATCATTATTATTATATTATATCCATGTGATGGTACTCAATGGGATTATACATCAAATCTGTGTGGCTATGCCAACTGTTATCTTATCTACAATAAAGTATTAGGTACGTTTGATTGGGCAGCAAACAATGGTTCACCAGTTGTTATTATTATGTTGGCTAATATGACACTAGTCATACGTGTTATTAGACATAAACGTCGTCAACGACAGGCAAATTCTTGGAAAAAACAACGACGTATGACAATACAATTACTTACTATCTCAAGTCTTTATTTATTTGCATGGTTACCTAGTCTTATCATAGGAGTCACTCAACAATTGAATTCTCCAAGTTTTTTGGCTAATATTCAAACAGATTATACACTTGATTTTATATATCTTATTGCTCTCTTGTCACCTTGGATCTATCTCAAACTGTTGCCAGAATTAATGAAATGGCTTGGGAATCTTTTACATCGTGGACAAATAGTACACAATGTTGTTAGACCTATATAACTAATCCCATGATATATTTCTATTATTTCTACTTTTCTTTTGAGTTAGAGGAAAAAACATACTTATCAGTCATAATCTCAAAAAGAAGAACTCGATTTGATCAAAAACCATGAATCACTAAGAAAAACAATCTGTTTGAATTTTTGGTTTTATTATTATAATAAAGGCTCAAATATCTTGAACAAGTGTTTATTGATGATATTTTTGATCAAAAACAAAATTGTCACATGTTTGAATACGTACTGTTCGCATTTTTGATAATAACATCATTGACATTCTCTAATCCCCGGACAAAAAAAAGTTTCTTTTTCCGATTCATTTTTTCATCGCCTACTACACTGTGTTAAAAACAAAACAAAATAAACTACAAGGTGCAGCGTGAAAAGTTCTACAATTTATAAAGGACAATTTATTTGATAATTACACTTTTTGTTTTCAAAATGGATGAAGTTCTGAGTCACTAATTTTTGGACACTTCGAAAAAATAATTTTTTAGTACACGATAAATTCTCTTTCTTATATCATCAATTAATAAATCATTCTTTTTTAAAATTTATCCCATTGTTCGGTCATCGATTATGGGTTTCGATACAACTCTTTAGCCAAAACAATAAGAAAATGAATTGATCGTGTACAAAAAAATGACCTTGTTCACAGTGTCTAAAATTAGTCGCACAAAATTTCATCCATTTTGAGAAAAAAAATGCAACTATGGAATGAGGTGTTCTCTATAAATTGTAGAGCTTTTCACGCTGTATCTTGTAGTGTATTTTGTTTTTTTAAAAGATTAAGTTTGAAAACTAATTCAAAATTAACCTCATGCAATTAATTTTATCTGCCTCCCGTATCGATCAATACTAGTACTCTACTACTATGATGGTACTTTCGTATACCTATTTCTGAAGCTAAACTTAAATAATGGTTCACTCTTCTTCATCAAATTTTCGTTATACGAAATAGATTTCAAAAAACCCAAAGAAAAACTTTGTAGAACCACTTCAACAACTTCAAAGTATGATTGCTCGATATAGTTCGTTCTAGACTGCCTGAAACATAACAGGAAATTCTATTCATGTACGGTAATTAAGGAAGAATTCACAAAAGCAACATTTTTCCCTCTATGGTTTCGAATAAACGCCCCAAAATTGGACTAATCATCTTTCACTCACATGTAACCAGTACATATTCTGAAAAAGAACGTTCACAACTACAAGATTATGAGCTTTTTGCAAACTCAAATTTTCTACAAAAAATCGACTATCTCGAGCGGGAGGATCTCTCTTCAGGTCAAAAATATTTCTCAAGGAAGTTCGCACAAAACAGGGCCAACGCTGATAGACAGTTTTCCCTCGATATGTTCTATGATACAACTAGAACAGATGATACTCATAATTACATCAAGTAAATAATCCTTTCTATTTCTATGATGCAATTCTGCACTGTAAAAAAAAAGGGTATTTTACGAAACCAAAAAAGGATCGGACCGCGGGTACACGTTCCGAACCTTCGTTGGTTTCGCAAAAAAAAGGTTTCGTATGAAACTTCTTCTTGATGAATGGGAAAAATGGTTTCGTACACAAGGTTCAGTACGAAACCTTTACCGCGAAATATTCAAAAGGTTTCGTACGCAAGGTTCAGTACGAAACCTTCACAGGAAAAAGCCAAAAAGGTTTCGTATTAAAGGTTCAGTACGAAACCTTTCCAAAATGATGTTCAAAAGGTTTCGTACAAAATGATTTGCACTAAACCTTGTTCTAATGGTTCAGCTAGTCAGAAATTTCATATAAACATCTAGTACTGCCATGGTATGAATAACATGTTGAATATTTCTCAAAATATGACTATGGTATATATATCAACTCAATCGTATGTAAGTGAAGATAGACTATCGAGTAATTTTCTAGATCTTATGCAAAATTACTCGATAGTCTATCTTCACTTACATACGATTGAGTTGATATATATACCATAGTCATATTTTGAGAAATATTCAACATGTTATCCATACCATGGCCAGTTCCAGATAATTGAATACCCACCGATGACTTTCATATTCGAATCAAACTATAATATAGAAATAAATAAATATATGTATTATATAAGATCGAACTTACCTCATTATTTTCGTAGTTGGATCAGCCTATAAGGAAAAAAAGAAATTTATTAAGTTCTATATGATTGAACTTACCTAAAATTCCATGTATGGATCGATCTAGAATAAACAAATATAGAAATTAATCAAATTCAATAAGATAAAACTTATCCAAAGTTCCATATATAGAACAACCTAAAACCAAAATATAGAGATTCATTTGTTTTTCATATAGGCAAACTCACTTAAAATATCATATATGAATCAACCTATTAACAAAACACGTTTATTTGATTCTATAAAATAAACGGCACCCAATACATGATTTGTGCAATAGGTATTGGTCTGGAATAAACAAAAAAAAGGTTATTAATTTCGATAATATCGGACTCACCTAAAAATTCATTCATGGATCAAGTACAACGAAAAACTAAGCAGGCTCATTTTGTTTGGTATAACCTCAACGTGCATGAAAAAACATATGGTTGAAACTAGGGGTGGCACTTTAACTTTAAAAACACTTTAAACTTTAATTAAAGTGAAAAATTTTTAAACTTTAAACTTTAATTAAAGTAAAAATTTTTAAACTTTAAACTTTAATTAAAGTAAAAATTTTTAAACTTTAAACTTTAATTAAAGTAAAAATTTTAGCACTTTAACTTTAACTTTTTCATTAAAGTTAAGTGTTTGTGTCATGCCGTACTGTAGGGGTACCCTTTGGTCCTCAAGTCCTACTTTTGAAAAAAAATTTTTTTTTATACAGAAACGGACTTTTTGAGAAAAAATAAATTTTTTTGGGAACACCCAAAAATTTGTTCGAAAAAAATTTTTTTTAATACAGAAATAGTCTGTTTGAGAAAAAATAAATTTTTTTGGGAACACCCAAAATTTTGTTCGAAAAAAATTATTTTTCGAAAATTATTTTTTTTATACAGAAATAGACTTTTTGAGAAAAAAAATTTTTTTTGAAAACACTCGAAATGTTTTTTGAAAAAAAGTTCTTTTCTTAAAAAGTCAGTTTCTGCATAAA